TTTACTGGGTCCTAAACAACTCACACACAGCTTAACGTAACAGTATAATCTGGCCACTATGGACCCAGCAGCTTCGGACCCGGGCGCTACGGCCCGTGATATTAATGCACTCTTGGCACGGATTGAGCAATTGGAACAATGCCAACGAGTGGGGTTGGAGCAAGCTCACACCACGACTCAGCAGGTTTACCGACTCACGGACCACGTAGCCCGTTTTACCTCTGACGCCAGCCAAGGCTCGCCTTGTGAGAATCGCATCCCCGATCCCGAGCCTTTCGCTGGGGATCTACACAAGTGCAGGGGGTTTTTGATCCAGTGCGGCATGGTGTTTGAGCAAAGACGATTTACTTATGACTCAGCTAAACGAGCGTACGTTCTAAATCTCTTACGGGGTAAGGCTTTAGCATGGGCGGAGGCGCGGCTGTCTCGTAACGGAGCCCTGAGCTCCGTTCAGTTTCAGGAGGAGTTACGTGCTGTTTTTGATCACCCTGATCATACGGGCACCACTGAGAAGTGGCTGCTTGCACTGCGGAAAGGGTCACAGAGTGTAGCGGAATACGCCATTGACTTCCTAATTCTGGCTGCTGACACAGGGTGGAATTACGCCGCCTTCAGTAGCGTCTTTTTGAACGGGCTGAATGAGAGTGTCAAAGACGAGCTAGCCACCCGAGACGAACAGCCCAGCTTTGACGCACTAGTCGCGTTGGCCATACGCCTAGACAATAAGCTATGAGAACGGCGTAGGGAATAGGGAAACGTCTCACGGGCGCTCCCGCGGTGCCTTACTACCGGTGAACGACCGTTACGCATCCCCGAGCATCCGTCCTCTAGCAACCAATCACCACCCAGACAGCAACCCATGCAGCTCAGTCGCGGTCCGCTTTCTGCTCAGGAGAGAACCAGACGTTTTGAAGCCAATTTGTGTTTCTACTGCGGCCAATCGGGACATCGTCTCACCCTTTGCCCTGCGCGGCCAAAAGAGCATGGCCACCAGTGACATCAGGGCAACTCGTGGCCCACTGCCTTAACCCTGATACCACCCCCACGTGTCTCCTCCTGCCGGCTGTGCTACGTGTCGATTCTGATTCCCTTTCTCTCACAGCCTTGGTGGACTCAGGAGCGGACGACAGCTTCATCGACAGAGAACTCGTGGGGCAGCTGGGTCTCACTGTGGAACCACTAGCCAAACTCGTTATCGCCAACGCACTTGATGGCCGGTTCATGGCTAGGATCACTCAGCGCACCCGCCCGGTTTCATTGACCATTTCAGGTAACCACCATGAACACATCCAGTTCCATATCATAGATGCACCACAGTCCCCCTTAGTGCTAGGGTATACCTGGCTCATACGACACAACCCGCATATTGACTGGGCTACTGGAACTGTGTCAGCATGGAGCTCGCATTGTGCAGCCAATTGCCTCCTTTCGGCGGTTCCCCCCTCCAGACCCGCCTGTTTCGCACCTGTCCCGGATCCCGTAGACCTCTCTCGAGGTCCCGCCTATCTATCACGATTTAAGGGAAGTATTTCGCATGGAACCGGGCAGTTTCCCTGCCCCCTCACCGTCCCTATGACTGCTCCATAGAACTCCTTCCTGGGGCCCCGTTACTCTCTAGCCGCCTTTACAGCCTATCTAAATCAGAAAGAGAAGCTATGGAGCAAAACATCGCTCAATCACTGCAGTCAGGACTCATTTGGCCTTCTTCATCCCCCCTAGGGGCGAGATTTTTTTTTGTGGGTAAGAAGGACAGGTCCTTGCGGCCATGTATTGATTTCCGGGGTCTCAATGCGATCACTGTAAAAAACAAATACCCGCTACCGCTTCTGAACTCGGCATTTGACGCCCTCCAGGGGGCTACCATATTCACAAAGCTCAATCTCCGTAATGCCTACCATCTGGTCAGAATAAGGGAAGGGGACGAGTGAAAGATGGCATTCAAAACTCCACTCGGGCACTTTGAATATTTGGTCATGCTGTTCGGGTTAACTAACACTCCTGCCATCTGTCAAAATCTGGTAAACGATATCCTACGTGATTTTCTGGACCGCTTTGTATTTGTATACTTAGATGACATCTTAATTTTTTTCCACGTCGGTCAAAGAACACACACGACATGTCCGCCTAGTCCTTCAATGCCTATTAGAAAACTGGCTGGCTGTCAAAGCCGAGAAGTGTGAGTTCCATGCGGGCACAGTGAGTTTCCTGGGGTTTATTGTAGATCAGGGAAAGATAAAAGCAGACCCGGAGAAGATCCGGGCTGTTACAGACTGGCCAGTACCGGGCACTGGAAAGGAGGTACAGCGCTTCTTGGGGTTTGCCAACTTTTATCGCAGGTTTATTAGAAACTATAGTTCAATCGCAGCACCACTCACCAAACTGACATTCATCAACCTCAAGTTTCAGTGGACTACTAAAGCAGCCCAGGCTTTCCAAACCCTCAAGGACAAGTTTACATCTGCACCCATTCTCATACAGCCAGACCCTTCCCGTCAGTTCATCGTAGAGGTGGACGCCTCTGACACCGGGGTGGGAGCAATACTCAGTCAACAATCAGAAGCAGACAACGTTGTCCATCCCTGCGCCTTCTTCTCCCATAGGCTGTCCCCTGCAGAACAGCATTATGATGTAGGGAACAGGGAGTTACTAGCCATTAAGTTAGCACTTGTTTGATCTGCGCTCCTTTCGCAACATTGTGAACTGTTATTGCGCATTGTTTTGTTGTATCGGTTTTTGTGCCCTTCTCACGTTTAAAGTGTAAAACCTGGTTTTTGGACTGCTTTTTGTGAATTGCTCCTCCTCTCAGAGCTCCAAGGCAATCCTGGGACAGCGCCACCATCTTATGTCGCACCACTCAGCTGATCAGGGCACCCACACACCGAACCCGAGATCTCTGGCACCAGTCTCCCCCTCCCTGGACTACTCCCTGGGCCTGCGGCGCACTCAGCTGTTCAGGTTACCAGAGTGACTACCAGAAACAATCTATACCATACCTGCTGCTTGTTCTTAAACTCTCTCTCTATTCTTATTTAGCGAGCAACACCTCTCATTCACCCCGGGAGACAGTAGTCCAGTCAACTCAGTGTGCCCAGCTGCCCCAAGATCAGCGGACGAGACCGGCTCTGTTTTGTTTGTTTTCGTGGAGCATTAAATACGTTTTTCTTGTCTAGCCTGGGTTCGAATCTGCATATTTACTGGGTCCTAAACAACTTACACACAGCTCACCGTAACAACATGCTAGCATTTATGGAAATGAACAAATCCAGACCTACCCTTTAACACCTTGGCAGTCTTTAAAACAGAGTACAGCCAAATACATCTTTATTGTGCAAGAAAGTACGATCCATAATGGCCATCACTCATTTTGATAGCCATTTTTAACCTCTAGAGTCCTGAGCTTTGGAAACCCAAGCTGTGCGGTCCTCATATGAGGACGCAGGGACTCTAGAGGTTAAAGCTCTTTAAAATATATCTCACAAAGTGTGGTATGAATCAGAATTAGAGATGAAATAATTTAATATTTCCTGGCGATTTAGGTGTCCTTGACAAAGGCAGAGAAGACTTAAGCTATAACCATGAAAAATATAGCCTACATATACATGTTTTTCAATGAATAGTCTTTAACCATTAATAGATATTAATATATGGGTTCATACACTAGAAACAATAACATTGGTAGCTATATATGTATTTTCTCCATCTGCGCTCCACAATCTCTGCACATTCTTGTTTCAACTCCATAAGGTTTCTATCCTCCACCCCTTTCTCTTCTTCAGTTGTTGTGCATGAGCTTTTCTGCAGCACTGATATCTCTTCACTTAAACCTAATTGAATTTGTCTGTGCTGCTAACAGTCCAAGTGCCGCATTAATTCCACCTGTGATAGGTGATGAATGTCTTCATGCCTTGGCAGCCCAGCCCATGTTAGTTGTTATATTTCTAATTTGTTGGAAGCCACCACACTCCCTGGTAATGAAATAATTAGTCATTTTGATGATTAAACCCTTGTGGTGCTGCAGCTGCAGGGAGTAAGTGAGTGAAGTGAGTAGGGGAGGGAAAGATTGTTGAAACTTTCTAGGTAGTTGCATATGCCTTCTGTACTGAACGGAAGTACGAGCTCAGCTACTATGTATTGTAATTAATCAGCAAATTGTTTGCAGATCACCTGCATCAAAGAGTCCCACCTTCCATAATTATTATGTTAACAACCCCGACTGCATTATCAGGCCCATTTTAAAGGTAAAAATACATTTAAAGAACTTTGCTATGATGTATGCTGTCAGAGACCTTTGGGCCGACTGAGACAAAAGACAACATAAGCCCTGAGGACAAGGGACACAAACATACAGTAGCATGGAAAATGTTGAGTTTGTCTTCCAAACAGTGATACAGGCAAACTGTTAATAGTTTTTCTGTCTCCAAACACAGAATATCAATATTTGACAGGCAAGCAAACATATATTCTGTAGGTCTATAGCAGTGCTTCTGGTGGCCTTGCTTTGCTCAGAGAAGGAAGAAAGACTACTGAATCACTTCAAAGTGTCTGTATTTTACACAAAAGGCTGATCAGTGTAATTTCATCCACACACACACACACACACACACAGAGAGATGAAATGGTTTCAATGTTATCTTTAAGTATAAATTTTACAGAAACATTTCCTAAAGCATCTGAAATGATTGTTGCTGCAACTGTCTCAAAAATCTCTCTCACCTCCATCCAGTGGACCCCGGCATGATCTGTTCTTAACATTCAGTCTTCTCTGGTTTACATTCTGCTCTGAATCACCTTTTGTCTTGATTGAACTCATCTTTTCCTCCACTTGTTCATAGTTGAATTGACTGGATATTTTTCACATAGCTGTTGGCATGTACCCCTGGCATGAAGCGTCTCGCTGTGCTTGCTGCATGATGGTTGCTCCGGTCATGGGTCTTTTCATCCCCCATGGGTTTGCACTGGAATAACGGTAATGTAATGTTGAAACTCTAGTGGTAGTTTGTGCAGGACTAAAGAGTGCTAATGAGTGTGTGTGTGTGTGTGTGTGTGTGTGTTCATGACTTTGCATATGTGTACCTTGATGTTTGTATGAATGTGTGTGTTTGCATTTTTGTGGGTATACATGATTCTTTGTGTGCATGTGTTCTTGTGTTTGTCTGTGCATGTATGTGTGTATTTCAGAACGCATTCACCCCGCTGACAGATGCCAAAACTCGGAGCCACGCCGATGACGTGGGGCTGGTGCTGTCCTCCCTTCAGGCCAGTATATACCGGGGAGGCTACAGCCGCTTCGCACCCTATTAGCAGCACCTCCAACCTATACGCAAACTTCCAACAGGACAAAAATAAAGAGTGTGTGTGTGTGTGTGTGTGTGTGTGTGTTTATGAGAAAGACTGTGTGAGCGAATGAAAACCACAAGAGAACGAATTATCAGGAGAGAGACATTACCAGGGCCTGGGTATTACAATACATGCAGTGTGTGCATCATTTCAGCATCTCCTAAGAGAGAAGTACAAAAATAAATAAATGAAATAAGGTAAAATAATAAAATGACAGCTGATATTTTTCATCTTATACCTCAAATATTTTGTGCTGTGTATTTTGATATTGTGGGTTTTTAATTTCTAAAGATTTAAACATAGATTATCCACTGTAGAATTTTTCCATGGTACTAACAGAGAGCTGCTAGAATAAAGTAAGGACACAGAGGAAATATTTATCAGACTCACATTCTTAGGCTTTGTATAGAAGTCCAACCTTGTAAGATAAGTCACAGTCACACTTTGGGGTTTTTATGTTTTGTAAGAGTGGTAAAGTGACTATGCCAGTCAAGTGCTGTTGTTTTACTTCTCTCAGCTTCTTTTAGCATTTCCTCAGTCAGTTTAGCAATGATAGATTTTCTTTTCCTTTGGTTTGAGAGGACATAAAGAATCCTTGACACAAACATCTGTGAAATTATGAGGACAAGATATAAGAAGCTCGGAGCAGCAATGAGACTAGAAACTTTTTCTTTTATCTTACAGTACGTTCAGAGCAAACTGTTTACCTGCAACTTAACTATCACATGCTCATAATTATAATCATTTCCCAATACAAAATCCTATGTAGTCTGCATAGTAATGAAAAATTGTATGTATTGTAGTCAATTTTCACTCCACCAAGGTTTTGTTGTCTTTAATAACATTATACAATTACTTTTTTTTTTTACAAAAAAAGATACTGACTGTCTCTCTCATGATTTCTAATTTTTATGTTTGCTTCAAACATAATGATTGTTCACCAAACATTTAACATCAACATCAACTGGTTTTTGGGGCCAAATCAGGTTGGCACTCTGTGCATGCTGTTTAGCCTGTGAAGAGAGGGCCGAAAATATGGCCTTACTAAATGAACTTCATTCATATTTGGATGCAAACTTTTGTTATGTATATATGAGACTAAAACCAGCCTTTTTCTTGTCATGTTTAGACAACACATGTTGACTAGCAGCCCTTGTCAGCCACATTGATTTCATCTATTCAGTTTTTCCCCCTCAACTTAAGGGCCATTAGCTGTGCCACTTATCCTGTAGAGGGCTGTGAGGGGGCTGGAGCTGATCCCTTATGAGAGACAGGGTCACTGATCTATCACAGACCTGAAATATACGCTACGTTCAGACTTTATGCTGAAGTGACTCAAATCTGATTTTTTATTTTCCCACCAAATGACTCAGATCTGATCTGTTCACAAATATATGAACAAGCTTAATTTGACTTTTTCAGATCAGACCTGGGCCACTTTGCTCCTAGATCTGATCCATAAATGATCCCTGACCATACAATGTCAGATTGGAATTCATGTGGTTTTAACAATTTCTCACGCACATGCGCATATTGCCAGCTGTCATCACTAAGTGTTGACCCCTCACACAAAAATAAACATCAAGGATAGCAGCAACAAAGATGGGGGTCAGTGAAGAGATGAGGACATTTCACAATTATTGGACATTTATGGAAAAGCTTCTGATCAAGCCGAGGTGTAAGGAACATGTTGTAACGAAGCAGTCTGGAAAGAAACTGTGTGATTTGATTGTCATACAAATGACTTTATTGGTTTTTATTCTTGCACTCAAGCAGCTCACATTCAGTTGAATCTACTCACGGTGACAGTATAGGAGCTCAGCTGTGTTCAAATCAGAGTTGGATATGTGTCAATTAAGCCCCTTTTACACAGAGATCACAGCACTGCCAGCATTATGACCCCACTTCAAGGCTTTTTAAATGTAAGCCCTTTTACATTGAACTTAAAAATGCCAGCAAACTACTGCTCCTGTGTTTGTCTGTTTGAGGGCAAGGCAACACACACACACACACACACAAGGTGCATCTCAACTCAGAACAAACAGATGGGTGTCTTCCTTCCCACAGGGTTGAGCAGAGGTGTTGCTGTGTTTATTCTTGCTTTATGACATAACCACAGTGAAATAGTGACAAAATAAAGTTTAAATTCTCTGATTCACTTTGTTCTCACTGACGCTCCTCATACACTCTGTAGCTCTCTCTCTCTCTCACACACACACACACACACACACACACAAACAGACCTCCAGCCCCCTATTCCGCTTTGTCCCATTGATATAGGAGCTAGGCCAAACTCATCTTGGCAAAAATATTACCTCTTGTTGGGGGATATTTGAGGGTCCACTTTGACAAAAAGATCGAAATTGCACATTAAGGCTTGTAACATGAACGTAGTGTTTGAGACAGACAACTATTCAAACACCTATGGGCAGTTTAAGTCGCCAGTTAACCTAACCTGCATGTCTTTGGACTGAAGGAGGAAGCCAGAGTACCTGGAGAAAACCCATGTCATCGTGGGGAGAACATTTAAACTCCACACAGAAAGGCCACTCTGGCCAGAAGGTGACAGTGGTATCCACTCCACCACCATGCTGCCTAAGTTGCTATAATATTAATGATAACTGCATTCCATCTTTCAAATATGTTTAAACTTACACACACATACCTTTAGGCTCTTTCTTTTGCAGTTTTTGCATTCTACAACTACCAGCAGGAAACACTTGCACCCAAGCTAGTTCTACAGCACTCCAATGAAGCCAGTCACTAGGAATGTTTGGACTGATTGCTTAATGTTGACCTTATGTAATATGTATAAGCTCATGGTGATAGACACACATCTCTTTAGCTGCTTAGTGCATGTCCCCATATTAACTGATCAGATTACAACAACAATCTACTGTACAACATCAGTTCTTATGGCTACATTGATTAGGCGGGCTAATAAGTACTCATAATTATACAATAAATAGTTTGTAATTAGTAAATATATATCGTAGGATGAGGTCTGCAGTTCTTTTTCTTTATAGTAAATGCAATGCATTTTTGTAACAAGATTCTTTATTGTTATAACAAGATGTTTCTCAGTTGCTCTCAGAAGTGTAGTTCAGTTCTCTTTTTAGGGAGAAAGTGGTGTCAGCATGTCATTAAGGCTGTTGATTTATTGACTTAATATGGTAATATCTTATATCACCTCAAGCCAAAGGTTCTGGTGGACATATCTGCTGTGTTTATGTCTATGATACATAGACATTAATTATGACATTTAAAAAAAAAAGGAATTGCCATGGAAACAGAACTTCAACCATTTAATTTTCTACTTCACATGTTGAGATATTAAAAACTATTAGGTCCAGGTGGAAAAAAGACTAAATTCAGAATTTGGAGATAGAAGTCAGGATTCATTGAATTCTGACTTAGAATTTGAAGACCTGAAGATTTCTGATACTAATGCTCTTCCATACTGAGCAGTGTTGGCCATCTACATGTAAATGTTTTTATATAAACTTCCAATATAGTCAGTGGTATAATTTAATATTACATGAGAGATTATATATTTAAGTGGCCAGTCCCACTGTGTCTATTTTTTTCTATTTAGTTTTGCCTTGTTCTGTTTCTTTGTTCATTGTTTAAAATTTAAAGGGGGTATAATAATCCAACGATGTATATTATATTTGAACTGTGTAGTGAAGATGTTCTCTTATATGAAATACACAATGGTATAATGTTTTAGATTTAGATGAGAAGATCAGTTGTTAGGGTGAGCCATCTCATTTTCTATCAAATCATACTCTGAATTTTATTAAATCCTTACAAATAATGTACTCAGAATGTAATTGGACGAATTCATTTTTTGTCAACTGTACCATTTTGCACATTGTAATTTTCACATAAACCTGAGACATATCAGTGCTGTAGTTGTTTTTGTTTTGTTTTGTTTTACTTTTATTTCTGATTCTTTCTCTTTCCTGTCACCACTCCTTTGTTATTTTTTAGAACTCTTGAAACTTTAAACTTTACTCTTTGAAAATTAACTGTTTGAATATTACAGTATTAAATAAATATGAGAAATAAATCATTTGTGAAAAGGTTAATCTATGATGTAAATAGAAGTTAATGGATTAAATCTGTAGTGTATTTGAAAAGCGCTACAAGGGCAACAGGAGCTCGGCTATGGCTGCATTGCAAGCCAGCCTAATGGCCACTTCTTGTGCTACATTATGTTTACAACTATTCCAAATTATTGGTGTCATTACATATCTCAGTTTTATATTTATAACGAGTTAAATAAGAAAAACTCTCAGATGCATCATATTATTAAAAAAAAGGCAGCAGTAAGAGCCTCAGAGTCATTTGGCTGAGGTGGTTCAACTGTCAAAGACTGGAGGGCTTGTAGTCCTCATTATACTGAATGTCTGCCTCTGCAACTACTTTATACAAGCTCTGCTTCCAGTAGGTATTGTGGTTCAAAACAAGGCTTCCTACCCATTGTGTGTGCATGTACTATGGTTCTTCCACTAATCAATATTCATCAATAAAGTTTTGTTTTCTCAAGTTGTAGTTCTCAGTTTCCTTTTTCTAAAGATTTTGAGCAAAGGTTAGCAAGCTAGTCTGATTTCAAATATCATGGCTCTACTGTATCTGCTTGGCTGAGTATGAGTTGCTCTGTGCGTTATTCTGCCTTTTTTTTTTTTATGTAAAGAAATACCATGAAAAGTGGAGCCAAGGGTGGTCCTGATTGGCCATACTGGTGCCACCCCTGCCAGAGACAAAATGAAATGCTTGTCACTATTAATGAACGAAAAATGAAAAACAATGGCAAATGATTGTCTTAAATCCAGCTAACATTCTTCTGGTGCTATATAAAATGTTTTCATAGAACTAGTGAGTCAGTTTACTTTTTACATGTATTTTAAATGTGCCACCCCTCTCTGAGTCTGTGCCACACCCAAAATGCTCTAGATCCACCCCTGAGGGTAAATGCCATGAAAAATACATTTTCCACTACATTGTGAACTTTTTGAGTGAACTATGCAGTGAATAGATTTACACACTTCACATTCAGACAGAACTACAAACATACATTATAATATATAATGAGTTGTGAGTCATTTTGGAAGCCATAAAGCCAGCCAAAAGGTCTGATGGGAAAAACACAGTATGTAACATTGCTGCTGCCTAACTAAATCAAGGTCATAACTTCTCCTAGTTTCCCGGACCACTTCCACTGTAGCAAATCTTTTGCCACATTTTTTGTTAGCATTTTTTTCTGTAATATTTGTGCTAGAGCTCAACAATTTGGAAATTAATCTAATTGTCAAATTTTTTTTAGAAATATTTCAATTGTGATTTAATATGCAGTGTTTTCCCTCTTCTGTATTATTCACTACAAGCAAGCTTTACTGTAAATGATGGCAGGAAGACGAACCCAGCATCCTCATATGCACCAGTGGCGCTGAGGGTTGGGTTTACTCCTGTCCAATGTGTTTTGTATTAAATTGTATTTCTATTTTATTTCTCTCTCTCTCTCTCTCTCACTCTCTCTTTTTTCTTTCCTCTCCATAACTACTTATTTGGCTAAATTGGCTATAGGAGTGTAAGATTAGAATTCAAACTTCACAGTACAGTGCAGAACAGGCATCTTTTATTTTTTTCCTTCATTTCTACAGTCCTGCAGATCTGAGCTCATCACAGACTTGATGAAACCTAAGCTATAAAACATCACCCTTCTAAATAAACTAACCTTCCTTCTGACTTCCTCTGATGCAGTAAGCTGTTTGTTCTGGACTCACTTGGGGTTGTGATCCTGAAACCTGTCATCTGCACAATTACTGCTGCTAGATGCACTGAACTATTTGAAGCATTTGATATTTCTAACTTCTTTTCTCTGCCACACCTTTACCATTTTTAAACTGTTTTTAAAAAAATTCTAAATGACAGATTGCATCCCGTATTGATTCAATACGGGCAGAGTGTGTGCACCTTGAGCCAACACATATGGTGGCCCTGAAGCTCAAATCCATGTACTGCAGTTTGAGAAAACACATGCAAATAAACAAAATACTATCAAAATAAGAAATGCTTTCACCCATTTGACAACAGATGCACAGCATTTAGTAAAACATGGAGCAAATATAAAAAACACAACCAAATACAGAAAACAACCAAATACAAAAACATTGAGTTCTCAGGGCCACTGTAAACTTGGGGATAACAACAAAGAATGTTTTATTTATCAAAATGGATGATCCCATATTATAAGGGGCAGGTGACAAGTGTATTGTGTTATTTTAATGCTGGAAGAAATTTGTGGTGTTGCATCGCGTTGTAGCTACCTTGGCCAGGCATGTTCAGCACATTCCTGCCATGAAATGTGGTCCTTGTGTATCCAGCACCCCTGGCCAAATAAGCTGATTCTGATAACATATAACTGTTACAGTTATAACAAACACTTGTGGGGAACTTGAACACAAAAAATATGAAAAATAGTCTGGTGAAACTGTGATGGTGAGATGACTGGGTCAGAGCATCTCCCACACTGCAGGTCTTGGTGGGTGTTCTTGGTCTGCAGTGGTTAGTACCTGCCAACTGTGGTCTAAGGAAGAACAAATGGTGAACTGGTGAAAGGGTCATGGACGCCCACGGCTCACTGGAGGTTGCCTTACTGTAGATTAAACTTTTAACTTCCATTTGTAATTTTCAAAAAGATTAAAATTTTCAGAAACTGAAAATGAGCTACAAAACCTTTGTAAAATTCTAACTAGATATCTTTTCACCAAATAAGTATGGTTTTAAAGGGGTTTTCATAACCTTTCATTCATTTTTTTAAATAATTTACACAGCTTCCCATTGGGGCTGTAATATATACAGTATATAATGATTTTCACTGGTTTTCAAAAATGTCAGTTTCCTCCAAATTTTCAACTTTTTGTCAGCTTCCTGTTTTGTCCATGCTTTGGGCTAGAAACATCATTTAAACTTTTAAGCAGTTCAAAGATGTTAGACTTTTGTAAGTTTTAGGTCAGTTTCTTGGTATCTTTTACACATTGGTCTGCATTGTGCAGAATGTTTTGTTTTGGGAGTTTTTGTGTCTGTTTTTTTTCTTCTTCTGTCAGGTTTCTCATTTCATAAACAATTTATACATGAAAACCTTAGAGAAGTTTGTCAGGATTCAGGAAATGTATTTCTTGTGAAAAATGTAGTTTTTGAGTCAGGTGGCCAAAACCACAGAGAAGAACATTAAATTTCTCAGTCCCATTGTCAAAGACACTGAGATGTTCTTATCCAAATCACATGTGAGGGCTGTTTGTAACTCAAAGTAGTTTATGGAATATTTTTACATATCTTGTATTAATCTGTTTGTTCAACCCTACTAATGAAGTGAATCAAATGACTTACTTGATGATTTTGTATTTTTGCTCACTGTTATGCTATAACTTTTTTTTAAATCTATATAAAATTCAAAACTTTTAAATGCTCTCTCTCTTTATTGAGTTATCTTTATTATCAATTTATGTCATCTATAGACATAGAAACTATATCAAGGGATATTTAGAGGTGTATATTATGGTTACTTCACAAACTAAAATACTTTTAGTTTAACTGTGATAACCTCCCAAAAGTAAAGCAGTGATGACTAAACCTTAGAACCTAATTGTGGACACAGTTTTAAAATAAATTGGTATCTGAAATATTTTAGATAAATCAATCGATTATCTGTTGATTCCAATTTAGATCTTAAAAGATGGGTGCGTGAGCCTGGGGAGTTAACTAATGTCAGCCAAACACTGTGCACAAAAATCAAGGCCAATGTCACAGCTTTTATAGGTTATTTCAGACCAAACTTAACACTTCCTCAAAGCCAAAGTATATTGACTCTTAAAATTTTCTCAGTAGAGTAACATCTGAAGGTATAACGATGTAGCTGCCTATAACTGCAGATTAATATTAATTTAGGGGGAAGTGGGTCTTGTCCTGAATTAATAACATGAAAGAGGGAGGTCTGCAGGGAACTGTGTTGGCAGTTTCATGGTATTTAATTACTGGGTGAATATCTCTGCCTGAAAACCTCAAGCAGTGTTTGAAGCTTTGACAGATTTCAAATATGCCACCTTAGAGTGAGAGGTTAAGCAATGTTTCTATAGTCCAGGGATTAACAAATTGTGGCCATCAAAAATAATGCACTATGATAAGTGAAGCCCAACCTTTGAAGACATTGTGATGGAGCGTTTCTGTATAATAAATTACCATAGTCAATCACTGGCAAGGATGTGGCAGCTATATGTTTCTTCCTGGCTTCCCTTGACAAATAGGTTCTTTGTTTAAAGTAAAATCATAACTTTGGTTTCAGTTTCTTTACTTGATTTTCAACATGAAGTTTAAAAGAAAAATGTCATTATATTGTCTGTGACTGTTTGTTTCTTCTTTGCACTTGAAAATAACCTTAACTTAGCTTTGTCAGCATTCAATACTAACTTCAGTTCAATAATCTGGGATTGCATTGTATTGGAGATAAGATGTAATTTATGGCTGAGGTCACACTAGACTTCTTTGTTGTTCGTCATTTTGACGGAGAGGGTCATAATAATTCCGCTTATTATTACCCCTCAATTTAATTTTCATTTTTTAATGATAAGACATAGCCTATTTAATAGCATTTAATTTTTAATCATTTTCGTTTTATATTTTAATAATTAATATTCAGAACAAGCTAATTGGTAGCCACTTTTCATGTCAACATGACTTTTTTTCCTGCAGTGACAACAGAGGCCACTAAAAGCACTGTAGCCATTGTGCATAAACAAACAACAATGAACACTGGAACTGTATAAAATTAGACAATTACCATAAAAATATGAACAACCCAATTACACAAAGTTTGGCTAACTGTATAGCTGACCTACTGTAGCCGGCTGCGGAGGTGATTGTCTGTAGGCTTTGCATCTTTGGACAGATGATTTCTCATGCCTGTTATAACTTAGATCTGAAAGCTGAACCTGTGGTCTGCCGCCACACTGAAGACTAGACTTGCCAGCTCTACTTCAGCCGATACTGAACCATTCACTTCACTGGGAGGAATCCACAGCATCATCTCCTCCTGCACCAGAGGAGCAGCTGCACCTCTCTGTGAGCTGTCACAGACATGCTTCGTGGCCTCTGGTCTGTGGCTGTTCAACACACTGTCAGCAAGATGCGCTGACTGCCGTTTCAGTTGTCCTTCATCCACTGCATCAGTTCCACTTTTTCAAATCATTTATCAATGCCATAGCAATTATTGGGATTTTTAGTAGCCTTATTGTAAGTTATGGTATATTACCCTCTGTTTTCTTATCTGTTAAAATTATGGATGACCTTCAGATTTTTGCCATAATTTAAAAAAATTCCATCAATGACAGAAAATATTTGGTTAACGTAACCTCTGGTTTAGGGAGTTCCTCTGGAATTGAGGGTGCACAGCTATAGAGAACGATGTCATTAGCATAGCAATGGGTTCATTTACTTATGTTTATTCCAGTGTTATTTATATGCAGAAAAAATAATAGCAG